AGTATACTTTCCTATTTTTAGTTTAAAAGAAGTATACTAATAGCACACTTGAATAAACTTCTTTTTCGTAAGGGTTGTGTAACATTTTCCACACATTATTAGCTGTTTGATAACACAGTCAAGCCAAAGGCTTCAGTTCAAGCCAAAGTAAAGAGTACAACTAAGTAAATACTTGACTGAATGTTGATCGGTGCACTGTGCTTGAATGTTACTGTAGCCTGCAAACATGATTTGAATCATGCAGCTCCTAATCACCACAGTGATGTATTCAGTCATGTCTGGCAACTAACACATATGTATTCGGCATCAAGTGTAGCATGGTTGTAGAAATTAAAGTATTTGCATTTGTTATCACGTGTGAAGCTACTGAACCATTTACATTGATGCTACACTATGACACCTAAAGGATTTCTTATCCTGCATCTCTCTATTGGACAACATTAGTATTACAGTAATCACATTTATATAGAATGCCTTGATATTTAGAAGAAATTGCTGTAAGGCGTCAGCTATGACAGGCATTTTTAGAATGTATGCACATCTTGGCATTTACATCCAGCCTTTTTTTAATGCAATATCACAGAATTCACAAAAAAATACTAGGATGGAAACAGCTATTGATCACAAATGGTTTAAACAATGGTGTTAGATTGGACGGGACTGTGTTTGTCAGACAATTGTAGACAGGGAGAGTGTTCAAGAAATCCTGCTGGAAAACAGTGGCTATGTTTGGAATACAATAGTAGTTTCTAATCACTGACCACTTTACAGTATTACTGTCTTCTACATTTAATTACAATAGTGAGCAGGAAGTTTAACAGAGGGCATTATTACACAATAAATGGATATCAATGACCTCATCACGTTGAAATATTGAAATATTCATACTGGCCACAGTATGCATACTACAGTATATGCTGCAGCTACAGTAAGAGCTGTGCAGTGGTAATGCTGTTCCAGACACTATGTGTGCACTTCCATCTGGTGACACTGTGGTGCTGAAAAAACACTCAACACAGAGGTACAGTAGTAGATTTAATATTTTTCCAACAAACACACAACCAAATCAAATCTGGCGTCAATTTAAGTTTCAGTTAACCTAGATTCAAGTTCACAAGGTTGTCTTTCAAGGATGCAGTGGATGCTGGCCCGAAAGCCGAAAATACTCATAAATGTTCTTTTGCATTAATTCATTATAAACAGGAGGTTCTGATGATGGCCTGTGAAGGACGTATGCCCTGCAGGTAGTCTGCAGTGAAAGCCTCTTTTCCTCCACCGCTATTCCCACCGAACGGAGCCCAAGTTTGCTAATTCTCCGAGCCCATGGAGTACGGCAGATAGAGTCAATACGGGTGCCAGTAAGCTAAGACTAGGGGGAGTACAAATCCCTCAAAGAACTTAAGGCTGGCTGCAATCCTGCGCTAGGCTGCGGTGGGAACCCAATCAAAGGAAAAGGTGCCTGTAAGGCAGATCAGCCTAGAGCCCGAATTGAT